TAAAAAAAAAAAAAAAAAAAAAAAAAAAAAACTGAAAATTCAATTATCAAATCACTACAATAATATTTTTATATGTTTTAAATAAAATATATTTAAAAGTTAAATAACAAAAATAGAAATTTTTTTGTTATTAAGTAAAATAATATATGTACGATAAATAATTATCATTCAAAAGAAATATGAAAAGGAAAATTAGACAAACGAAACTAAAGCAATACTTATAAATCAATATTTTATATTTAAAAATTCCATTTTTTACAGTTTAATGAATTTTTATAATATATTATAAAAAATATATTCTATTAAAAAAATAAAAAAAAAAAAAAAAATAGTTCTGAACGATCATACTTTCATTTCTTTTAAATTTTTCAATTTGTTTGACCTCACAATAAATGTAACAAAAATAGTAAAATTATATTATGACTGATATATGAAGAACTTAATATCTCATGACTATTTGAACATTTATTAGTTTATTTTATGTGCATAGTATTAAATATTTTTGTTTAGTTAAAATAAATATAAAAGTAATAAAATGAATTAAAAATATTTATAAGCTTATATATTTTATATATATAAAAAAAAAAAAAAAGTATATATATATATATATATATATATAAATGTACATTTACACAATTTAGTTTTCTTATAAAGAAAAAAATTAAATCAAATTTAAAAGCAAATAAAATTTATCAATAATATTTAATCCTTTTTATTCTTCTAAATGTTATTAAAAATATAATTTAATAAATATGTAAAAATATTCAATGAATTAAAATTTTCTTTTAATTTCCATTTATTTTATTGTTTGTATGCATTAAAGTTTTTAGGTAAAATATTCTAAGTTCATCATCTTTCCTATTTCTTTAAAATTTCTAATATTTTTATAAAAAATATGTTGATATAAAAATATATATAAATGTAAAAATTTTATGAAGATTATTTTAGGAATGTATTTTTTTAAAATATGAAGGTAGTTTAAGGATTTAAGTTTTTTTTTTTTTTTTTTCTATACATTTATCCAACTTATAAATATTTATAAAATAAAGTACTCGTAAAATCATGAAATAATTTAATTAAAAAAAAAAAAATACATGCAAAATATAATTACTCTTATATTGGAAAAAGAAAAAACAATTTCATAAATAAATATGTTGATAAACCTTTTTTTATATTTAAAAATAAACATTTTAATATTTCTCACTTTTTTTAAATAAACATTATTATTTAATATATAATTTAATACTCATGTAAAAAAAATTTTTCATTTTTACCTTATGTTTTTTATCATTTTATTTTACTTTTATTATATTGTATATATTATTTTTATTTTTGTTCTTTTTCATTCTTTTGTTTTAATTATATCAGCCTATAGGAGTTTTAAATACTTTTTTTTAATTATGACTAATTAAATTATCATGAATTAAAATTTTTATTTCCGTTATTATAAAGAAAAAAAATAAAATTAGTAAATGGATCCTAATGCTTGTAAAAATTTTCCAGTTTTTTATATTAAAAATAAAGGTATAAAAGAAAAGCAAAATAAAATGAAATAAGTTATTGAAAGATATTAAAAAAGAGTATGTTTTAACAAATTTGTTAAGTTAGTTCATTCTTTCCAAAATGATTATATCTTCATATATTTTTCTAATATATATTAAATATTAATTTATTTATGTTTGTGTGCATATTTACAGAATCTGTAAATATAGATAATGATAATTTATCATTGAGCATAAAAAGATTTGAAGAATACATTAATTCATGCTTCAGTTGTTTGCCATATAACGAATTAAAAGCAGATAATGATAAAAAATTTTTAATTGAAAATTTTTGTGATTTTTTTGTTTTTTATAACTGTGATACAATAATATGCTCAATAATTGAAAAAAATTGTATGATTAAAACAGTTGATTTTTTTAAAAAACTAGAAATTAAAATAAATAACAATGAATTTAAAAATGGAGAAGATTTTTTAAATTTCTTTACCTATATATGGGATAACTTTACTTCAGTTATAATTCATATAGCAGATGTATTAAAATCGTTTAGTTCTTATAATAAAATTACATGTTCAAATTTTTATTCTCCTTCCTATATATTTAATGAATTATGGAGAAAGTATACTAATGAATTTGTTAATATAAAAAATTATATTATTTCTAGTGTATGTGAATATTTAAAATGGGATAAAACATATTGCGAACAAAACTTTTATAAGTACTTATGCATGAATATATATAGCAATTCTTCAAATAATAATGAAAATGTTTACAATATTATTAATAATAGTCACGTAAATAATAGACAAAATTACGATAATTTACTTAAAAATGAGGAAGATAAAATGAGAACAAATGATAGTAATTATATAGAACAAAAAGAAGAAGATGAACTAAGTAATAATGATAATTTTTATTCGAACCATATTAAAAAAGAAAATAACACATCTAATACAATTAACAGTAAAAATAATGATGAAATGTATAATGTAAAAAATGAAAAGGTTTTAAAAATTAATGATAAACTGTTATCTGTAAGTTTAAAAATTATTGATATTTTAGGATTTTATGAAGAATTTGAAAAAGTATACACAAATGAAACATATATATACTATAAAGAAAAAATGAATTATAATTGTGAGCATAAATTAAAAACTGTAGATGGTAAAGATGATGACAATTATGGTTTGCCAATTGAAATTGAAAATTACTTATGTCATGAACAAATGAGAAGTCGTAAATTTCTAAAAGAGGAAACTGAAATTTCCATTTTAAAAATGTTAAAAAATCTCCTAATAGTAGAGCATAAAGATATTTTATATAGAGAATCTTATATAAAATATTGTATTATTTATGAAAAATATGATCCGTTAAGAATATTATATTTATTTTCTATAAATTTAAATACGACTGATGAATTTTGTAATTTATTTTTTAATTCAGTAGAAACGTTAGGCACAGAACTCATTAACAATTTAATTAATAGAAGAAATAATATAAATTTATTAAATGAATCAATTATTGAATTGATAAATTTTAAATTAAATGTTGATAGAATTATTATCATGTCATTTAGATATTCTACAGTTTTCATGAAGAAATGGAAGGAAGTGTTTGAACATTTTTTAAATAAAGGAATGTATGCTGAAAATTATATTCCAATTATACTTAGCATATATTTAAATAATTTACTAATGATGTATAACGCATGCTTAAAAAAGCTTCGAAAGTATTATTTGTTAAACAAAAAACTAAAAAATGAAAAAAATATTAAAGATGATATAATTTTTGAAAAGCAATGGAACAGTTACTGCAATGACGAAGTAACTGATAATGGCGATCATTACACAGTTACTACTGATAGTGATAACTTATTTATAATAAAAAAATATTTAAAAAAAAGAAAAAAGAAAAGAAATACTTTTGATTTAAATATTAATAATAATAATAATCCTGATGAAGTCGATCAGTATTTATTCAAAATAGAAAAATTATTTAAAAAATATCATGAAATTGGGAAAAACATTATGAACATAATAACAATTATTCTCAGTCTTTTTAGATATATAAGTGATAAAGAAAAATTTGAAAAATATTATAGAATTTTTATGTGTAAGAGACTAATAAATGATTCAAATTTTAATATTATTTTAGATATTAAAGTTTTTAAAACATTAAAAAAAGAATGTGGTGCTCAATTTACTAAAAAAATAGAAATAATTTTAAAAGATATGAAATTTACATCAAAAGCTATGCTTAAGTTTTATCAGGAATTACCTGACAACGCAATACAATTATTAAAAAAAAAAAAATATTCAGTCAATATTATTTTTAATGAATCTTGGGAATATGATAATGTGGAAAATAATGTTATTTATCCGCATATGATAAAATTATGTAATGATTTTTTTTTTGAATTTTACAGAAAATGCAACAAAGCAAAAAACATTCAATTTTTACCTTCATTGGGTTTATGCACTTTAAAAGTAAACTTTGGAAAAATAAAAAAAAAATACATGAATATGCAAGATGAAAATATAAACGATTTTGATAAAAATGATTCTCTTTATGATAAGAATTTTGTCGAAAGTAATTTAAAATATAATAATACGACAAATTACAAGAAGAAAAAAAAGTTTCAATTTACAGTCACTGTATTGCAAGCTATAATTTTATTATTATTCAATGAAAAATATGAATATAATATAAATGAAATAAAAAACTTAACTGGGATTTCAATCGAAAATATAATTCGTTACTTAAAACCACTTTATATTATGGAAGAAACAAACATATTAATATATGATGATATAACTCAAACTTTTAAAATAAATTTTTCTTTTCGATCAAACAAAAGATATTTAATAGTGAATTACTCAGATATAATTTACAAAGATCATTCAGTTATTCCTGCTTTAACACAAGAGGATAGTGAATTAGAAGACAAAAGTTTACATATTGATGCAGCTATTGTTAAGTTTTTGAAGACTAATGGAAAATCATCAGAAAGAAAAATATGTGCTTTCGTTAAAGAGAAAATGAATATAAGTTCAAATGAACAAATTAAAAATAGAATTACATCTTTATTAAATAGAGAATTTATATTTTTCAAAAATAATGCATATCATTATGAAATATAAAAAAGAAAATTTTAGTAGATTTTATTTATTTCCGTATCATGACAAAATTTATTACTTTTTTTTTTTTTTTTTCATGGATTAATATTTTTTTATATTTTATTTCATTTTTACGGAAAATTACAATTTTTTTTTTTTTTTTTTTTTTCAAATAATATATTACATTTTTCAATTTAAAATATATTCAATGTTTAATAATGTATATACATATATCTAATAAAGGTGAACAAAAATATTAATAATATATATTAATTTTAATAAGTATTATATCAAGTTTAACTTTTTCAAAATTAAAAAATGTTTATATTTTTCTAGTCAGATTGTAAATACAATTTTTAAATTTATATTGAAAATCAAAAAAGTATTTAGTCTAAACTTTATAATGGTTTATATATACAAATGACGTATAATTTATAGAAATTTTAAAAAAGACAAAATAATTAAAAAAAAAAATTTATACCATAAAATTATGAAAGGAAATTATTGCATTTGTAGAATCATTTCATGCAAAGTAAAAACTAAGATTTTACAAAAAAAAAAAAAAAAAAAAAAAAAAAAAAAAAATAAAGGAATTAAATAAGTAAAAGTATATATTATCTACATATAAAAAGATAAGGATCATCCATAATATAAATTTTTTTCCACAAGAAAAAAACCTTTTATTTAATTAATTCATTCTACCTAAACATGTACTTGAACCACATAAACAAATCAATTTTTTTCCTTCTGATTCAATACCAAACTTAACAAAGAAAAAAAAAAAAAAACATGTATATATATATATATATAAAATGATAAGATAATAAAAAAAATAAATAAATATAATAAAATTTTATTTTTAATACTTGATAGTCATATGTTATTTCTTCATGAGCAACAATATCTCTTTTTGCAAAAATAACAATATGTTTTAAATTTTGATCACAAGTTACAATTTTACAAAAGCAGTTCGGCTATTAAAAAAAAAAGTATATAAATATATCATTTAAAAATATTATCATAACTATTAATAATATTATTAGTGATTTAGTTTTAAGAAATTGAAAGTTGCTTTTACCTCACAACTATGGTTTATAAATCTACTGACATTACCCCATTTAGTAGCATCAATAATTATATTTTCATTTAATCTAAACATATAACAACTACTTTCAATTTTATCATAATACTTTTCTCTTTTATCACTAATTATATTTCTTATATATTCACCTATGTATTCAATAACCGGCTATAAAAAAAAAAAAAAAAGAAAAAATAATAATAATATAAATAGTAAAAATAGTATAATGAACAAAATATATTTATATGTATATATTATTTACCTCCCCTTCATTAATAAATTCACAGGTATATAGCCCATATCCATGTATATTGCTTTTTTTTACATACAATCGAGAATTTGATGAAATATTCATTAAATATCGATAGGACATTGCACTGTTAATATTATACTTATATTTTACTGTTTTCCTCATGCTTTTTTCCTAAATGTAAATACATATATATATATTTATTTATTTATGTATTCATTTAAAATTTTTTACTTTAATTTCTATTTTCATTTTTACCTTTTCTTTTTCATTTTCTTTAAAAATGGATGCCTCAAAGTTTGAATATTTACATAACAAATTATCGTTATAAATAACTTCCCCTGTATTATTCTTTATCTTTTTTTTACTTTCTTCTCTAAATAAAAATATAATAAAAAGGTATATATAAATACAAGTTAAATATTTAAATGTATAATAATATGGATGTAATATATTTATATGTAATTTTATCCTTGAATTTTTTTTTTTTTTTTTTTTTTTTATACCGTTCTTTTTTTTTTTTAACATAATTTTTAATTTTATCACTTAAATTTTTCCATAAAAATTTGAAAAGTTTGTATTTTATTTGATATATTACACAAGGCAATGTTAAACCAAAAAAATCATGAACGTCAATTAATTTATTATATTCAACCAATTTATAAATATAATTTTGCAAATACTTATATATATGTTTATATTTCATAGTGAATTTTATATATTCGTCAGTTGTGTATTTATCACAGCTACAATTAAAAAGAGATAAAAATTTCATATAAACTTCATTTATATCATAACCTTCTGCTAAAATAAATTTTTTTGCATCTTCTTCTGAAAAATAATCTATACTTATTAAAGGAAATAAAATAACAGAGAAAAAGAAATTATTATTCTTTAATGTAATAGAAAAAATATAGGTTGCTCGTATCTGTAGAAATATTTCTTCTAATATTTTTTTTTTTATAACTAAATCATTAATATTCACATTTTTATAAATATAAAATAAAAAGAAAGAAGGTAGATTGAAAAATATTCTCATATTTAAAAAACCACATGGATATATCATTTTTTCTCCATCATATTTTAATATTTCACCAATACTTAAAATGTTGTGACATCCAATCTTAATAATTTTTGATTTACATTTATTAACATTGTTATATGTATTCTTTTTATATTTGGAGAAATATATATCATTAATTTTTTTTATATATACATCATTATTTTTATTTATGATCATATTTAAAAAGTATTCTTTTTTCTCCTTCATATCATTTTTATTATTGATTTCTAGTATATTTTCATTTTTTTCTGAATTTGGATTATTATATTTTGAAATAAAATTATTTTTTTTTTCTTCGTTTTTTTCATCAAAATTTTCATACTTTTTGCTTTTCTCACTTTTTTCATCGTATTTACAAACATCTTGAAATTTTGTTATTCTTATTTTTTTAATTTTATCACTTAATTCAAAATAAAGATTTATATTTTTTATTCGTTCCTCTTTTTTTTCTTGATTTGAATTATTTACTTTCATTTTTTCCAGAGGTCTTTCAGTTGTATTATTATCATAATTCATATGATCAACTTCAATAATATCATCTATAAATGTTATAAATTTACTTTTGTTATTACTTTCATTTACATTTTCTTTATTAAATAAATTTTCTTCATTTAACAAATTTCTGTTAGTATTTTCATCACATTTTTCTTTTAAATTTAATTCTTTCTTAATCAAAATGGAATTAATTTTGTTTTCATTTAATACATTCGGTAAATATATATTGTATACTTGATCATTATCATATATGTTTCTCAAAAAATAATTTTCACTTTTCTTTTGGAAAAAATATTCTTCATTTTTTAGAGTAATATTTTTTCCAATAAATAAGAAATTTTTTAGTATAAAGTAGCATTTTAATATATTTTCAATATTTTTATGATTAATAATATTTTGTATATTTATATAATTTAAATTATCCTTTATTCCATCATTATGTGATTTATTCATAACATTTTGTTTAAATAATAAATGATATCTATCACTAATAAAATTCACATCGTTATTTATATTAATATATTTATTAATGAATTTTTCTATTTCTTGCATTTTTAATTCTATTTTTTTATTTTTATTTAAATTTTCTTGTAATACATTTAATGATTTATTTTTATATTTTATTTTTATACATTGATTTATACTATATAAAATTTGATCAAAAACATAGTAAGAGTCATCTTCAAAATAAAAATGGATTAAATACTTAAATAATTCCTTTTTATTCATATGATAATTTTGTTTTGTTTCATTTTCATTCATTAATTTACTTATGTTTGTTTTTGCACATTCTGATTTTTTATTTAAAATTAAATTTCTATTTTTTAATTTTTTTATGTTATCTTTTTTTTCATTGATATCTTTATTTTCGTTATCATTATTTTTAGTATTAATATAACTCAAATAATTCTTTGTATATATATCATTTTCTATTTTAATTTTAGCATTATTATTATAACTTGAACAATTATCTGAATCATTTATATATTTATTGTTTTTATTTTTTTCATAATATTCGTTATTATTACTATGTGTGTTTTTTTTTTCTATATAAAGGGTGTTGTATACTTTTTTTAAATTCCAACATTTATTACACCATATTTTTTTCATTTTATATATTATATGAACAGGAAAAATATCTTTATAACGGTTTTCAAAAATTTCTTTATTTTCTTTATTGCTACTTGATGAATCGTTGAAATTATAAAAAATTGTGTCATTATTGAATTTAATTAAGTTAAAACATTTCAAATAATGAAAAAAATGATTTTTACTAAAATTTCTTACAACTGTTGAATAGAAAGCACAATTTAAATGAAATTTTATATTACAATTTTCATTACTACAATATATACTTGCATTTTTATAACCACATAAAAAACAAACAGAATTAACAGAATCAAAAATTATTTCTTTTATATCATCTTCTTCTATTTCAATCATATTTTCATATAAATTAAAGAAATTTTTATTTTCTGTCCATTCACAATTATCCATTAATTTTACACTTTTTATATTATTATTAAAATTTCCTTCCTCTGTATTTTTTTTTTCCTTTAAAGAATTACATTTTGTAGAACTCATACAATTTAGATTTTCCTGATTAACACTTTCTATATTTTTACATGTTTTATTTTCATCATTTAAATCCTTATTACAGCCAACATAATTAAAATTTTTAATTGCATCCTTATTATAATTAGAATCATTATCTAATGATTTATTTTTATTCTTTTTATTTTCACATAATTTTACATTTTCCTCTTCACCACATAACATTTTATTTTTAATGTCTTCATTTTCCTTAATAAAATTATATTCACAATTATTACTATTAAAATTATAATATTGTATACAATTTAAGCTCCACTTTAAACATTCACTATGTAAATATAAATTATAAAAAGGAATTAATTTTCCTTTATATAAATAATTACCAAAACTACATAAGAAACATATTTTACTATTTTTTTTTTTACTCTCTACACTGTTTTCATATTTTAAAAAACATAAGCTTTCTTCAATATATTTGTATAGCATAATTTTTACATACAATGTTAATTTATTTTTTATTGTAAATTTCACTTTTTTTACATAATCCTTAACTTTTTTTTCAAAGGCATCTTTATTATTAATTTTTTTTATTACATTATTTGAATTACTAAAAGAATTTTTTTTTCTCATTAATATTTCTTTATCGCATAAATCAACGTTTGATTCTACTTTATTTTCCTTTTTATACATATTATTTCTCTTTTTTTTGTCATTATTATTATTATCACTTTTAAGGTTACCATTATTACACATGATTCTTCTTTTTTCATTGCATTTATCAAATGTAAAATCTTCTGATTCCTTTTCATTAAAAATTCGTTTTATATTTTCAAATAAATCATTATTTTTAATTTTAATGGATATATTGTCATATTTTTTTTTTTTTTTTCCTTTTTTTATGTCATTATTAAATGTTATGAATTCTCTACTTAATCCTAAATGAGTATAATATTTTCTCGCATTCCTATATAATTTATATAAGTAATACAAATATAAAAAGTATATAGATTGATTAACAATTTCTTCAAAATAATTATTTGATTTATTTAAATATAAAAATAAAGTTTTTCGTGCTATGCTGTATACATTGAATAAATTTGTAAATGTTTTATTATGTGTGCAATTATTTTTATATATTTTTTTATGAAATAAATCTAACATATACTTCATAGTATAAAAGTTTGAAAAACTGCACGATTTATAAATATCTTTTTTAAAAAATTTTTTCTTAAAATAAACATCTTTCTTTATTTTATTCATAAAAAACAGATAAAATTCTTCATACTTAAAGAAATTATTATAGAATATTAAGATATATGGAAACTTGATATTCTCTTTAAAGATTTCATCTAACATATTATACATTTCTTTATATACATTTTTTTTATAAATATGATTATAATTCATTTTTATTATGAAGTATAAAAGTTCATACAACTTTCCTTCTATATTTTCTTCTTTGTTAATATTATTAAAATTTATACAACTTTCATCAAAAGCTAAAAGCTTTAAAATATAATCATAACGTAAACTACATAAATTGCATATATATAATGAATTGAAATTATCATTTTCTTCTTCTATTATATTATCATTTTTTTCAGTATTCCATTTAAAAAGCATACAACAAATAGAACATTTATAAAAATTTAGTTTATTTTTAAAAAAATAATTTATATTCGTATGTTTTTTTATATTTTTTTTTAAATAGTTATGATTAAAATATAAATTATTATATAGTGATATTTTATTTATCCAGTATACACATTCTCGGTCATATTTGATACCTTTTTCGTTATTTATTTGAAAATATTTACTTTTATTTTTACGTATATTAACTCTACTATAATTTTTTTTATATATTTTTTTTTCTTTATTATATATGATAGTGTCATTTTCAACATTTCCTTGTGTAAAATTATTGTTTTCTTTATTATCCAAATTATTAATGTTTCTTAATTCTGTGCTTTTTTCTTCTCTTTCATTTTTACTATTTATTATTTCTTTAATATAATCACTACACTTTTGCTTATACTTCTCATTAGTTTCATAATAAGAATTGTTACTATTATTGTTTTCATCATTATCATTAATTGTTTTATTAAATTTATCATTTGAATTATTCATCTTATAATTATCATTTTCTTTATTTACACTATTTTCATTATTTATATTATTTTCATTTTCTTCATTTATATTACTAATATTTTTGCTTGAATTATTTATATTATTATCAGTTTCTTTAATTATATTATTTTCATTTTTATTCACAATGTTTTCATTTTTATTTTTATTATTTTCATTTTCTTCATTTATATTACTAATATTTTTGCTTGAATTATTTATATTATTATCAGTTTCTTTATTTATATTATTTTCACTTTTATTCACAATGTTTTCATTTTTATTTTTATTATTTTCATTTTCTTCATTTATATTACTAATATTTTTGCTTGAATTATTTATAACATCATGAGTTTCTTTAATTATATTATCTTGATTCCTATTAATATTGTTTTCATTTTTATTTGAATTATTTGTAAAATTATCAATTTTGTTAATTACACTATCTTCATTTTTATTTATATTGTTTTCATTTTTATTTGAATTATTTGTAATATTATCAATTTTGTTAATTATACTATCTTCATTTTTATTTATATTGTTTTCATTTTTAATTGAATTATATATAATATTATCAATTTCTTTATTATTATTATTTTCATTATTTATATCATTATTACCATTTTCATTATCTATATTATTATGATTATTAATATTTTTTTTTTTTTTTATATATGTTCTTTTACCCTCTTTTTTAATTTCTTTTTTAATTAAGCTAGAGTTTTTAATATTAATTTTACATTTTGCATCCATTATGCAAGCCTCATTATCATTTTTATTTAAACATTTTTCAAATTCTGCAAGTTCATCACTAAAAAAATTAAAAGAAAAATCATTCTTATATAATGTAATGCAATTAAGACAAATGTATGTATTGGGGGTAATTCTCTTGAACTTTGACTTCAATATGAATTTATTATTTTTTAAAAAGTTAGTTAATTTATTAATTCTCATGTTTTTTATATCTATTTTATAATTATCTTTAATTAAGCAACCATTTTCAATAGATTCAAAAAAACATGAATGTGAAGATAACTCATCCGATATATTATTGCCATGAATATTCATTTTTTTTTCTTTATTATGATAAGTAGAAAATTCCTCATTAGACATGCTTTTGCAAATTAAATTATCATCACCTGAAAGTTCAGTAGAACTATTATTTTTAAGATGGAATTGATCAATAGAGGAATTTCTTTTTTTTTTTTTTTCTTTTTGTTTATCTTTTTTTTTGTTATTTTTCATTTCCTTTTTTCTACTCTTTTCTTTCTCCTTTTCTTTTTGTTTTTCTTTTTTCTTTTTTTTTTTTATTTCCTCTTTCATTTTCTTTTCTCTTTCTTTTTCTTCTTTTGTTTTTTTTTTTTTTCCATTTTTTGTTTCATTATTAATTGTCAATTTATTTATATCACCACTAAAGACATTTCTTTCATACTTTATCTTTTCTACACTTTTATTTACATTATCATTTATATTATTTAAATTATTGTCATCTAATTCTTTTAAGTTACTATCAATAAAACATTTTTCTTTTTTTATTAATACATTCTTATAATCAAGAAATAATTTTCTCTTCTTTATTTTTTTTTCTCCTTTTAACATTTCATCATTTATATTTTTTTCGGAGAATTTTAAATTATAATTATTTTCATATTCATTTCCTATTTTTTCATCATTTTCAATTTTGTTTGAGTTTACATAAGAAAAATTATTCTCTTCATTTTTTGTTTCGTTATCCAATTTTAAATGATTCTCTTTATTACTATTATTTTCATAAGGCTCTGAATTTTTGTGAATAACTTTATCACATTCTTCTATAGTCATTTTATATTTGTTTTCACCTTCCTGTAATTTTTTTACAATTATTTTGTCTGTTTTTATTTTTAAATTATTTTCATTATACGAATCATTAATTGTATTATTAGTATTACTATTTACAACATCAAAGTTTTGAAAGAAAATATTTCTTTCGTTTACATTATTTATATTTGATTCATTTGTTTTATATTTAGTACTATTATTATCATTATTAATATTATTTGTTAATTCATCAGTTTGATACAAGTTATTTGTGCAGAATGCATTTCTATTACCATCAGTGTAAGGAGTACTATCATAATTCAATGTACTACTTTTTAATAAATTTGAGTAACCTTTCATGTTTTTGTTGTTATCCTTTTTATATACATTGTAGGAATCATTCAAAGTATTTACATTATTTAAAGAATGATTTTCATCTGTTTTGTTCAGGTAATATTTTCTACTAAAATTATTATCTCTATTTATTTGATACATATCGGAGGAATTCTGAAATATAATATTTTGAAAAGAATTATTATCATCCTTTTTAATATATTCCAAATTTCCATTATTATTGAAATTATCTTTATCATTAATTATAAAATGATTATTGTTATTTATTAAATTTTCATTCATTTCACTGTTCTCATTTTTTATTTGATTGTAAGATATATTATTCTTATTCATGACAAAATTATTATTTTTGTTTTTCAAAAAATTATAATCAGTGGTGGTGGTGGTATTTATATTTAAATTGTCATTGCTATTGGGATTATTATTAAGAAGCATTTTATTATAAAAATAATAATTGTTCTTATATACATCCATATCATGGTTAAATGAACCGGATTGATTTATATTTTCATCTATATATATATTATTTGTTATATATTCCATTTTATTTGGTATATATGATGAATATTGAAAATTCGATTCATTTACATTCACATTTACATTCATAGAATTATGTGGAATATAATCTTTGAAACCATTTATATTATTAAAATGTTTAATACTCTTTATATTATTCATATCATTTAAATTATTTGTTCCATTTACATTTTTTAAATCATTAAAAGTCTTTATATCATTATAATTATCTATACTATTGACTTCATTTGAATTCGTCATATTGTTAAAGTTATATAAATTGTCTATATTTTTCAAATTATTTGAATCACAAAAATTAGTTACACAATTTGTGTTGCTTAAATTATTCATATCACTAAAACCACTTTCATTATTTATATTTTTTAAATTATTCATATTATTAAAGTTAATAAATTTATTTTGTATTTCCATGTTGTTTACACCTATTAAAGCATTATTACTATTTAACATTTTTACATTTTCTATAATAGTCATATCATTAATATTATTTGAATTATTCATATATTCACTATTGTTCATGTTATTTGTATTATTTGTTTTATATAAATTATTTACACTACCTATATTATTTCTATTATTAAAGTTTCTATTACTGTTTAATATGTTTTCATCATTAAAATTATTTATATTATTCACATTATTAGTATTATTTAAAATATTCAAATTATTTATATTATTAAAATTATTACTAAAAGTACTTATATTATGAATATCATTTTTCTCAGTATTACATCCATCTAAATTATTTAAATTATTCATATTAATATTTATATTATTTGATTTATTTAAATCAGTTAAGTTATTTAATTTATTATAACAAATCGAATTATAATTTATCTTGGAATTTACACTTTCTTCAATGTTCTTATTAGATGAATCAATAATTTTAAAATTTGATTCATTGAAATTATTAAAATTATAAGGAAATTCACAGACGTTTTCATTCAATTGAATAGAATTTTTTTTTATTTCATTACAATAACTCACAGTACTACAAAGTGAGCTATTATGTGTTTTCATATTATTCATATCATCTATGTTATTTATACTGTTTAAATTATTTATATCTTTTACATTATTTATACTATTTACAATTTTTGAATTTACCTTTTCCATAATATTTAAATTATTAATACTATTTATATTTTTAAAATCACTTGTATTATATGTATCACAAAATGCTATTTCATTTGGCATATCTTTATTAATATTATTACTATTACTATGGGTTGGATAATTATGTAATTCTAATAAATTTTGTTTATTTTTCTTTAATAACATATTTTTACTGTTACTATTATAATTATTATGTTTATTATCTTCATTTTTATTTGTATTATTATTACTATCTAAACTCTTATTATTATTTGAGCGTTGATACTTTTTAATTTTATTTTTTTTGTTAATTATTTTACCATTTAAGGCATTTGATAAAATATCTGTTATCAATGATTGTATTTTTAATACTTTTTTCGTAATATTTATTTCATCTCGATTATTTAAAATAAGATTTGTATCAAACAAACTGATATTTTCATTTTTTATTTTTCTAGTATTTTCTCTTTTTACATTTTTTTCAAGTTTAGATAATTTATATACACTTAGCTTTTCATTAAGATATATATTCAATGCATTTAAAATCTCGTAGATAATAAAATTACCTCTAAATTCATCTATTTTAAATAAGTTTAATAAATTTTTTAGTTTAATTCTTTTTTTTTTTTTTATTAATTCATAAATCTTATCTAAAATAACTTTATTAAATATTTTTTTATTTATAATTATAGTTTCATTATTTAATTTGTCACATGGATCTACTTTAAAACAATCAACGATAAATTCATTATTAAGAATTAAATTATTAGAAAATTTATCTATATAAATATTATTCTTATTTATTCTATATTCTTTCAATTTTTCCATTATTAAATCGTGATCCTTCAAAGCATTTTCTAAATTTTTATTAATAGTTTGATTATAATTACTATTACTATTAATAATTATAATATTATTATTATTATCAATGTTAATAATATTATTATCAATGTTAATATTATTATTATTATCATGGTTAATATTATTATCAATGTTAATATTATTATTAATGTTACTATTGCTATCTTTAGTGAAATTAAAATTATTATTGACATAAATATCACTGTTAATAATATTATCGTGAAAATTATTCTTATTTGCAATTTTATTAATATTATTGTTAATATTAAAAGGTTTATCATTAATACTAGTATCATTATTAACATCATTAATAGTATAAATGCTAGTACTAATATCATTATTGTTAATAATATTGTTATTCACATGCATATTAACATTATTATATGTATTTATATCATTATTATTGTTCATATTATAAAATTGAAAATTTTGTTGCTTCTTAATGCAATTATTCAACTTAGTAGATTCACATTTTAATTTTAAATTATCAATAAAATCATCATTATTTTTTTCATTACCATTTGATTTATTATTTTTGTTTGTTTTAATGTTATCATTATTATTAAAAATATCATTCGTAAAAGAATTTTCTGTATTACAATTTGATAAACTATTATCTAATATATTGGATTTAAAATTGTTTGTTTTGATATTTTCATTAAAAACTTTATCATATTCTACATTATCATATGTATTATTCATAACATGAAATTTCTCTATTGATTCATTCAATGATTTACTTCTTTTATATTTCCCAGTTTTTTTATAATTGTTTTTTTTTACATATTTATTTTTCTTAGTTAAATTTTTCAGTGTTCTTTTTGAAATGTTTACTTTACTTTTCAGAATATCATTAGTATTATTATCAATTGCATAAAAACATTCATTATGCGATGATTTTCCACAGCAGAAACATTTAAATATTTTAGAAGTTTCATCATGAACACTTAATATTTTTACAAACTTTCTTTGATTAATGTGTGCTACACTTTCTTTTTCTTTTTCTTTTTTTCTATGTAAATCTTTTTCAGTAGTATTATTTTGTACTTTTAATTTATTCTCATTATATATTTTGTCTAAACTATTATCTTTCTTAATAGAATTATTAAAATCATTAATATCATTGCAATAATTACTATTTTCAATTTGTTTCTTTTTTTGTTGTTTATTAAAAAAGGAAACACAATTTTTTTCTTCATCTTGACTATTTTTGCTTTCTTTTTTTTTTTCTACTTGATCTTTACATGAATATAAATCATTAGGAAGGTTATCATTTGATGTTAATTTAGCTTCATAGATACTTTTATCTTGGTCATTTTGATATTTATCTATATTTTTTTCAACATTCTCATCTGATTTTTTATCTTTTAAGCATTCTTTTTTTTTACTATTTATTTTCTTTTTTAATGAAAGAAATTCTATCTTTAAATTATATAGATAAATGTGAGTTCTGTTTTTAAAAATGTTATTAAAAACATTGAAATTTTTTATTTTAAAATAGAGTGAATCATTAATAGTTTCGTCAAACACGTTATAACATTTATCGCATTTAATACAATTACTGCATTTAAAATTCCTAGTTAAAACATTTAAAATATTATTTATCTCCTTTTTATGATCATCAAAATCATTTAAATTAAATAAAAATGGATGAAATATATTTACACATGAGTAATGAAAAGAAATACCACATACTGAACAAAATAAAAAGGAATTTTTATATTCTATTGACCCACAAATATGACAATATTCCTTTAATATATCATTTTTGTATAACTTAATTTGTTTTCCTTTTTTTTTCATAATTTCATCATAGAAACAATAATAATTTACTGAATTAAGAATATTAGTAGGAATTAAATTGTGTTTTTTATTATGTAAAGGAATTGTATTGTTAAATGAATCATCTATAAATTTACTAGTATTGTTATTATGATTAAATGAAATTTCATCATTTTCATAATTATTATGATTTTTATTTATTGTAGATACCTTTTTTTTTTTATTATATTCTGTTTTTTTATCAAAAAAAATTATTTGAATACATTTTAAAAAATTAAATATATTATTTAATGGACTTACAATTTTTTTTTGCTCTCTTTTCATATTGTTAGATTTTACTTTTTCTTTCAAAACATCAATCATAAAAATATCATTACTTATGAATAAATTTGAGTCAATACTCTCATTAATAATATTATCAGTTTTTTTAAAATTTTTTTCATCTTTATTTATTTCACTTATATTTTTTTCAGTTAAATTAATTCCAACTTCTTGATTTTCTTTTATTTCGTCTCTTTCTTCTTTTATTTTATATTCATTTTGTTCTATATTATCTTTTTCCGTTGATTTTATTTTAATTATATTATTTTCATATTCATTTTCTTTAAAGTTTTTATCTTTATAATCCTTTTCTTGTTTAAGTAAGATACTTCCTTGTTCATTTTTATTTTCATTAATCTCAATATTATTTTTATTAAAATGTTTCAATATATGAACTTTAAGAATTTTACAAACATCAAAATCATCATATTTGTCAAATTTTCTATTAAAATAAATTTTACTAGTTGTACTTATATTAATAATGTTGTAATTAGTGACATAATTATCAGATGATTCAAAAATTTCTTTATTTCTATGTATAAAAAAAGAATTACTTTTAAAGTTAAATAATTCATGTATTTCACAATGTGTAATATCTTTTTCTATATTTTCTAATTTTCTCTTTTTATAAATACTATCATTTAAAATATTTTTATTATTACTACTAATTTTAATACCATAGAATATATCTTCTTTTTTTATATCATTATTAATATTATTATTTTCATAACTTAAAAATAATTTTTTTTCTTTATTTATGCAATCATTATCTATACCACCAGATTTCATATCACATAAATTACTATTATAATCTATATTATTAATATCTTCAACATTTATTTTTTCAGAAGTATTGTTTACATTATTGCTATTTGTTTTATTAATTACATGATCATTACTAAAAAAATGTGTACTGTTATTTTCTTCATGAGGATTATTTGATTTAATAAAATTGTTATCTATGTTATTAAGTATATAATCATTTCTTTCTACAGAATTGTTATTGGTTAAATTTATTTTTTTTTTTTCTAAAATATTTAATGATTCGTTATTATATCTTAATTCATTATCTTTTTTAGTATTTATAATCGAATCATCTGTTGAAATATTTTTTCTATCGATCAAATATTCATTTGTTTTAGAAAAGGTATCTTCTTTTCCTGAATTATTACCACTTCCTAATTTATGTGCATCACTAGTAAAAGTTGTTTCACTATTTTTAATATCATTGTCATTTTTAATAATATCATTGTTATTAGCTTCTTCATTAATAACTTTTTTATATTTATCTAAACACTCTGCAATGTATTTATTTAATTCTTCGTTGCTCATATTAAACATATTTTTAATAATAACTTTACCTTTTTTTTCAAAATTACAAGCATTTTTATATATGGAAGTATTAGGCATATGGACTGTTTTTGCATTATGTATAATTAAAATAAAGTCATATAAAAAATCTAAAATAGTGTTATATTTTTTCTCCCATATCTTTTTCTTCATTATATATAAATTCATAGGAATTTTTACAATTCTCCAATATATATAAAAATTAATTGGTACATGAAAAGTAAAATTTTTATATTTATCTAATAAAAATAATAAATATAAAATTCTTTCAATTTTATCATGAAAAGAACCATAACTACAAGTTGGACATTTATAATTAATATTTTTAATTGATAATATTTCTATATTTCTATTTTCATTTTTATCACAATTTAAATGTATCCAAAATTTACAAACATCACATTGTACCCATTTACTACTGTCATTCATTTCATACTTTTCATTGCAAATAATACAGAAATTTTTTTTTTCATATTCTTTATAACAATTTATACAACAATCTAAATGAAACTCCCACTCATTGTAATTTATAAAACATAAATTCGAATAATTGCATTTATTACATTTTAAGCAGTCATCACATTTCCAATTAAATAAATATATATCTGGAACATTTGGAAAACAACAAGATCCATGAGCTACCAGATGACAATTTTTACAAATTACATAATTAGCTATATTGGGTGTTTGTTTATAATTATAAATACTTTCACAACAGTATATACAACGATAACAATCTTTGCAAATAAATTTTTTATATGTTACATCATTATATTTCACTAATGGAATATAATTGATGCATTTTCTATATTTCTTGTTCTTTGTTTTCATACTATTATTTGCATCTATGTCACTAAATTCATCAACTATTTTGCAATCATTAATGAAATCATTCTTATTCTCATTTATACAATCACTCTTAATCTCATTTAATTCATCATTTTGCACACAATTTGTGTCACATATACCTGCATCATTTTTCTCATGGTCTTTATTACCAACATTTTCATTTTTATCCTTACTAAAATTATTCTGTTTATTTTTCTCATGATTCTTTTGTGATGGATCAAAAGAAGAATCATGGCAATTAGAATTACTTGCGTAATTAATTGAATTATCATTCTTATTTGCATTCTTATTATTATTATTACTGCTATTTATATTTTTTTTTTTTCTATATACTTTTTGTTCATTTGAATTACCCTTAATTTTCATTTTCTCCTCTATTTTGTTTATATTTTTAGAGCTTTTTTCTTTTTCAATATTGAAACACTTTTTATCCTTTTTTAAACTATTTTTATAAATATATTTTTTATACTCCTTCATTAAAATATTTTTATCGTAACTTTTAGTTATAATAACTTCATCATCTAAACAATTAGCATGAAATTTTTTAGAACAAATAAAACATTTGACACCCCAATATACATTTATTATATTTTCCTCATCCATTCTTTTCTTTTCTTTTTCAGAACTCAACTCATAAATATATGTAGAGAGATTATTAGTATAATGATCATACCCTTTCATAAATAATATTTTACATTTACAAACGGAGCATTCATCATTTCCTTTTAAAATGTTATTATTCATTTCCTTTTTTTTATCACATTTTTCTAATATATCAAATCTTTCAAATTCTTTAGTAGTTTTTAATATTTTTATATTGTAAAAATATGGGGAATACCAACCTTTTATATCTGAAAAAATTAAATCATTTTTTTTTTTATCATTTTCTTCCTCTATTACATTTTCGTAACTTATAAATAATTCTTCCTTATTCTCCATATGTTTTTCGCTATACTCTTCTTTATTATTTTCATCTATTTTATTATTCTTATTATTTTCGTTTGCATCTGCATTGTCACATAAGTTATACATATAGTTATCTGTATATTTCTTCATATCAATGGAATTAGTATTTTTTCGTGTATTCAAAAATGAATTATCGTTGTTTTTTAAATGATTAATTTCTTTATTGATACTCTTTGGTGTATCACTTTGTATGTTAAGTCTATAATTTTCTATATGATGAATAAAAAATTGCTTATATTTAGGAGAATAGTATTTTATAATTCCTATTTTAACGTGTCTTTTTTTTTTATTATCTTTTTTTAATTCAAAGCTTACGCGATATCCAATATATTTAAAACCTTTTTCTTCATCTTTTAGTTCAATATATTTGTTAGAAGAGTCGTTTTCTATTTTTTTTTTTTTTTTTTTTTTCATTTCATCTAATTTATTTTCAAATACATGATATTTCCCATTTTGTATTTGATATATTATATTATAATTATCTAAAGATTCTTCTATTATACAATTAAAAAATTTGGGTTTTTTAAAAAGTACCTCATTTTCATCAATATTCAAATTTTCCAAAAAAAGAATATTTTGAACTTTTTTTAATAATTTTAACTTTTTTTTTATATTACTATTATTTGTATCTAAATAAAATCTTGTTTTTTCTTCTGATCCTCTTATCATATTAATTATATCTTTAATTTTATGAACATTAAAATAAAATTTTTTTTTTTCATTATATATAAAACCTGAATAATTACATTCTTCTACTTTAGAATTTCCTTTTCTCCTTTTTATTTTCAAATTATTTCTGTTTTTATATTTTCTTATATTTAAATTAAAATTATCAGTAATATTTTCATTTGTTACACTTACCTTTCTCTTTTTTGATGTACTGTTGGAACTTTTTTTTTTTTTTATTTTAATATTTAAACTTTTTTTTTTATTATTAACATCATATGTATTTTTGTAAGAAAACATATTTTCTTCTTTAATAGCATTATTTTTAAAATTTTCTTTTATTTTTTTATGATTTTTTTCTTTTTCAATAGTTTTTGTTGTTTTCCTAATCTCCCTTTCTCTTTTACAACAATTATCATTCAAATTGTTTAATGTATTCTCAGTTAATTTGTTTTCTTTATATTTATCATTATATTCTTTTGATAAATTTTCTTCACTTATATTATTACTTATAATATTTATTTTACCTCCATTCTTATTAACTGAGTTTATTTCATCAGAATTTTTGTTAAATGAATTTATTTCATTAATATTATTATAGGAAGAACTTATTTCATTCGTATTTTTTTCTACATTATTTTCTTTTTTTATATTAATACCCGATGTATTTTCAAATGTATTGAGAACTTCAGAAATTTCATGTTTCTCCTTTCCTTTAGTATAAATGTCAGAATCAGAAAATATTATTTCACTTATTGTTTTTAATTTTTTTAAATATTTTAAACAAAAAACTTTCAAAAAGTTAATAGCGTATAACTTATCATTATTCCTTACATATAAAGTATCACTTTCAATTTTTACATTTTTATCACTTAAAACAACATCTTGTATTGCTATTATTTGAAGTATATTTTTTTCTAACTTTTCATTATTTAAAATTAAAATACGAAAATAACAATCTTTTATAATTTTATAAGTTAAAAAATATTTTTTTCTTTTATGTGTAACAATTTTTCCTTTTTTAAGAAAAATATCATTGTAAAAGTTTTCAAATAATGTTTCATCATATTTTATAAAATTTTTTGAATTTATTTTTAATTCTTTATTTGTTCCTTCTACTTCATTTTTCTTTATTTCATCTTTATTAACACTTTCGTTATTTAATTCTTTTATTTTTTCATTTAAATTTTGATTCTTTTCTTCATTTATATTGTCACAAATATTTTCTTTTCCTTCTTTATCTGATTTTCTTTTTGTATTCTCATACTCTTTTTCATTTATAACTGTGCATTTATCTTCGTTGATTTCTTTATCTGATTTTTCATTTTTTTTTTCAAATATTTTTTTAATTACTTCATTATTTGATTTATCACTTATTTCTTCACATATATTTTTGTTTATTTCTTCATCAGTTTTTTTAGGTATAAAGTTACATGCTTTTTCTTCCATACCTTCATTTATATTAATATTTATTTTTTCATTGGAATATTCATTTTTATTTTCTTTATCATTTACCTCTTCATATACATTTTGATTTACTTTTTCAGATATTTCTTCATTTTTTTCTTCAAGTGTCTTTTTCATATTTGTATCATTTGTATTAATTTTTTTGTTTTCTTTATATTCAAACTCCTTAAATATTTCTACATTTGTATTTGAATTATTTTCTTTATGAACATTTTCAGTTTCTTCATTTTTTGTATAATGATTACTTTCATTGTCTTTGTTTTCCATATTATATTTTAAATTATTTATGTTTTGCATATTCTTCTCCTTGATTTCCTCTATATTAATTGTTTTATTATATTTTATTTTGTTTAATTCCTTTTCATCTATGGAGTCATTTGGGAATAGGGTATATTTATTTTTATTCTGTATGTTAAGACACTCATTAGAATTCTTATTATTTAATGTATTTTTTTGTATTTTTATCTCCTCTTTTTTTATTATTTTATTGTTTTTTTTCTTAATTTTAAAATTTTTGTCTCTTTTAAAGTTAAGATTGTATTTTCTTTTTTGAATACTTCTTAAAGATAAATTATAATTTGCATAAGGAAAAAAAATATTTTTTTTTAAAAATATTTTATTTTTTTCAAAGTTAATTAACTTTTTCTTTTTATACACATTAAAAAATAATTCATAAATTTTCGAGATATTATTAATTTGAGTATTTCCTTCATTATTATATTGATAATCCTTAAAACATTCATCATAAAACAATATGTTATAAATATTTTTTTTTTTTCTTTTTTTTTGGTGGGGTGAATAACTTATATTTGTATCTGAATATGAGTTTCTATCTTTATTTATATCATTTTTATAATTAAAATTATAACTTTTATTATCATTACTATTTGTAAAATATGCAGCTTTTGTATTTTTTTCATACATGAAAAGTGATCCTGAACCTTTACTACTTTTAAATTTATAACTAATATTCTTTAAAGGATTTAAATTATTATTTTTTAAAGAATGTAAATAAAAAAGGCTATTTGTTTTTGAATTATTTACGTCAGAATCAATGTTTTTTTTTCTAATTAAACTTTTTAAAAAAATATTTTTTTTATTTTTTTTTTTAGCTAAAGAACTTAATAAATAATTAGATTCCATCTTATTATTTAAATTTTCTTCTAAATTAATAGAAACATCAGAAAAATTATTTTTAAAACTTTTTTTATTTTCTAATTCTTCAGGTTTATATTTTTTACATGTATTCTTTATTATTTTCTTATTTTTTACAAGTTTATTTTCTTTTAAATTTTTGTCATTTAACAATTTCTTACTATCAGTTAATTCAATAATTTTTTTTTTTTTTAAATCTGTTATACTAAATCCTGTTTTACTATATACATTATTTCCTATTTTCAATTTTTTACTTTTTCCTTTACAATTTCTTCTATCAATAATTTTACTCTTATTATTAATACAACTAGGAGAATCAATATTTGATAAACTTTTGCTTTCTATTTTAGAAAAATAGTTGTTATTATCATTTAAAATTTTTTTTTTATTTTTTGTTAATTCTTCAACTTTATCATATGTTTTATTGATACTATCGCTTTTAGTGTTACATGTATTTTTATTATTTTTTAAATCAAGTAAATCATTTTTTATATTAATTTGAGTTTTTTTCTCATTTTTATTCCTCCATTTTGGGCCATCTTTAATTTCTAATGTATTAACATGTTGACTGGTATTATGAACTTTTTCTTTTCTTTGAGAAAATTCACTTTTATCATATCTCACCTTTTTGATTTTTTTTTTCTCTTTTAGTTTATTCATTTTTTTTTTTTCTTTTTTAAATGAATCTTTTTTTATTTGTAAATTTTTTGTTACAGCATCTTGAATTTTCACTTAATTTTAACATATATATATATATATATATATATATATATATATATTTATATATATATATATATATATGTATTTATATGTATATAAATATATATATGTATATATTTTTAAACGATATTTTTATCATTTGAATTTTTTAAATATTCTATATTTATATGATATTTAAAATAAAATAAAAAAATTTTTTTTCCATTCATTTTCCATAATATGAAAATCATAAAAAATATTAAAGATTATATCAAATATTTGAAATTAATATTTAAATAAAAAAAAGAAAAAAAAAAAACAAGGAAAATATATTAAAATTTTATATATAATTGATGTTTAAAAATCATCATATTCTGCATAATCTTTTAATTATTGTTTAAATTTTTTTAATAATTATTTAAAAAATTTTTTTTTATTTTTATATATAAAAAAATAAATTGAAAAGATATATATATATAAAAAAAAAAAAAAAAAAAAAAAAAAAAAAAAAAAAAAAATTTATTTTATAAAATTTAAAAAA